AAAAATATTTTCACTTTTAATTTTTAATATACTATATTTCTTTTAAGAACAAGTAAATGTATTAGAATCCCTTACAGTATGTAGAGTTAGTTTCACATCAACTATAAGTATGTAAATTATTAGGTAACAATTTTTTTTATATTTAAATATTATTTGAGTAAACTTTATGACCATGACGTCAAAAATAGCTAATTGATTTCACTGATTTAGTAAACTTTTATTTTTTATATAAACCTAGTAATATCTTTCTCATGTAAGTACAAAGGACATGGGTCATTCAATGGCTTACATCTTCTAACTTTTCATATTTAATTCATTTTACTGTAGGTGTTTTATTGGATTCCTTTAAGTGCTTGTAGTACTTAGAGGGAGATCTATAGGTTAGAATACGTTTTATTTAATTACAATTTTAAAAGATGTTTAGGTTATAATTTCTTTTTATTTAACTACAATTTTAAATACAACTTTAAAATATTTTCACTGTTAGTTTTAATAGACTATATTTCTTTTTTAATAGAAATAAATGTATTAGAATTACTTACAGTAAGTAAAATTATTTTTACATATCAAGTATAATATATAAGTATATGTATATTACCTTTCTTAAAATTTTTATATTTAAATATTATTTATATAAAATTTATGACAATTACGGTAAAAATATCTAATTTATTTCTCTGATTTAGTATTTCTATCATCTGCCAGCCACAATGAGAAAGCATTCCCTCGAACCATCGCCAGTGAGACACGCTGCAAGAGCAACTCCGTTTCGCGAGGCTCATCGCCTTAATCGCGCCAATCCTTCGAAAGAACGTCATCGAACGAGGGTCAATAACCCCTGAAGTATTCACTGCCACAGAAGTAAAAAAAAAATCTAACAGCAAAAGAATATTTAACTATTTTTTTTTATCTCTGCGTTCCAGGCGACGGATCCCGGCTTAGTAAATTGTCTGCTCAAAACATGGAGGAAAATAATATGTAAAAGAAAAAGCAAACCAATAAAGTTAGTGATACTTTTATCAGATACCAACACACAATTACTGTTTTATCCATAATAGTTTTACGGCAAACAGACAGGGCTGCAAATAAAAGGCTATTAAAGCCGCTATTTACAGACTTTAGAGGACTTGTGGATCTCCATTTTGACTGTCAGTTGTTGAAAATCTGGATGATATATTGTCTTGGCTGTAAGAATTAGCTCCGTCGGTGTTGGTCTGTAAAGAGTGCATAAGTCTTCGGCATCCCAAACTTCATTACAGAGTACAGTGATTCACAGATGTATGTTGTGCTAAAAATTGAGATGAGTCACACAAACGTGTTTTTTTTTTTTTTTTTTTTTTTAATTCAGGATATTTTATTTCTGGAAATTTGATTGCAGTTGCTCCATCTGTTCCAACGAGTATATTCAGTAGATTTTCAGCATTTGTTAAGGCCCTTTCAAGCGCATTTTTTATGTCAACACCTCGGGTTATTTCATTTAATATCGGAGCAAACCAACGGACTAATACTAACAGTTGTGGGTGGTTTTGTATGTCTGTTGATTAGTCAAGATCTAAGCGGAGGGTAGCACCTTTTTTTTTTTTTAAATCATTTTGCATTTTGACTGCGACATCAGCACTGATCTGAGAGATACACTTCTCTGTAGTGTAGCCTGAAGCTGGTGTTTGTACTCTTAGTCAGTGAACTTTTGTGTTATTCGGATCTAACACTGCAAAAACGTCAACTGTATTCTTCCTAACAAATTTCACCATCAGAATATAGGGGTTTAGCACGAGCAATATTGCCAGTCGTTGTATCAGCTTTCTTACTGAACGTTGTCAACAGCCTTCGCTGCCTATTTAGTGATGATTTTAACACAGTTAACTTTTTCCCTTATTCTGTTTTAGGTGGATAACCATACGAAAAGTTTCTTTTGTGATTTGTTTCATAGTGGCGTTTCAAGTTACTGCAATGGCCGAGTGACACATGGCAGATAAAGGTCAAAGGTTTACATCTTTGAACGATGAATGTAAAATCTTCCTCCCACTCTGGTTTAAAAAATCTGTCTTCAATTTCATCTTCATATTTTTGTTTCTTACAATTTAAGGAGGCCATCTTTCCTTCGCAAAATATTCACCGACACTTTTAGTTTTAAACAACACTTGTATCCAAAGTGTGCCAATTACACCATTGTGAAAATTAACTAAAACAACCGCCTTAGTTTTCTTTCTTTCAACATACGGTCAGTTTTAGACCCACGGGAGTGACAGGGTGTAATCAGTTTCTATTTTTCCTGAGATTAGGTCATTTGCAGTGGTGTCCAGTAATACGAAACTATTTTCGGGTTGTATGATGAAATTTGTTTGGCCTTGAAAAATATTTCGTCAGCCGTGATTGCATCAGATTTTTATCACGCCCAGACACTATTGTCTCGACTGTCGATTACTTGTCCTACGGCCATTGTCTGCGATGGACGGTACACGAAGGAAAGGTACGAAAATTGTAACGCTGCACAAACACATTGGAAAACCTACCAGTAAGCAAATCAAAGTACTATTGACTGGCCAGGAAACTCTCCTGATTTTAATCCAATTAAGAATCTGTGATCAATCCACAAGGAACGACTTCGTGGAATGGACATACGAAGTACTAACATTTGCAATGGGGTATGTTTCATTGCAAAAATACGAAAATAAGTAAATAATAACGGAATCATTCGTTTTGCTTCGTTTAATTTGCACATGGGTGTAGTTTTTGAGTCTGGGAACGCCGACTTTTTTTTTTTTCCTATTTGTTAATATTGATTGCTTCACCTTTTGCCATTTTGGCTGGCTGGAGTTATCTTTTGAAAGCTCTGATTTCAGATAACGAGGAGAGGAAAGATACGTCGTCTTCCATTAACACCGAGGCCCGTAAGTTTTGGATCTTTTGTGAAAGGAGAGACTTGCAATCTTCCATTAGTTGAGATACAGCCTCTGCTGATATGTAGGCTGGTTTCAGATTATTTTACAAGGCATAAAGAATTGATGTGGCTGATGGGTTACAATGTTTATTTACTCATTCAACAATATCAAAAAAGCTGTTTCTCTTTCCATAATGAGTTAACTGGTAAAGGCGGAAAGAAAAACGCCATAAGGGATTAGTAACAGAAACAGGCGATTACTAATCTCGTACATATCATTAGTCCGTTGATTTTCAAACCCATTATGGACTGTAGTTGTTAGGTCGAGTTTACTGGTGTATTTTCAACAAAAAGATTCTTCTGAAATAAGAAAAGAGGCAAGATGGAATTTTGTGGGCGAAAAAAAAGAATAAAGTTATTTACACATAATTACACACACATACACACACACACTCACATATATATAGATAGATAAAGATATTATATATATATATAGAGAGAGAGAGAGAGATAGATAGAGAGATTATATATACATATATATATATATATATAGATAAATAGATATAGATAGATATTATATATATATATATATATATATATATATATATATATATATAGAGAGAGAGAGAGAGAGAGAGAGAGAAAGAAAGAAAGAACAGTAAGATATATAATCCGGTATTCTTATAGATATTTTTATTTTTACAAAATAGTGCTCAATGTAAATTTACAGAGCATTAATATTATAAATTAATTGATTTAAAATATGTTTTTTTTCGCTACACAGTTCTAACCATGTTTCAAAAATGGAAGGTCCAAATTTAATTTTGTAATTAAATTAAAGACATTAGTTCCATTTCATCCTCAAGTGAATTTTGGACTAACTTATAAAATTACTGGGTTTTAAAGTCATCAAAAATCATAATTCACGTTTCCAAGGAAACAGAGAAATTCATTTCAACCAGACGAGGGGTGTTTTCGTATTCATTATGTCTGTATTTTGATCTTGGTAGGGGTAGGGATGTATTCTTCAATGAAATCTGACATCCGTTAAATGCATGTCGTCTGGATTTTTAAAAAAAAATTTTATTGTTAACGGCAAAAATTCTTACGGCATTTTTTCTATTTGTATATTTAAAAATTGGGGGTGGGTATTTAGGTTAGAATACGTTTTATTTAACTACAATTTGAAAAATATTTTCACTTTTAATTTTTAATATACTATATTTCTTTTAAGAGTAAGTAAATGTATTGGAATCCCTTTACAGTATGTAGAGTTATTTTCACATCAACTATAAGTATGTATAGTATTAGGTAACAATTTTTTTTTTTTTATAAATTATTTAAGTAAACTTTATGACAATGACGCCAAAAAGAGCTAATTGATTTCACTGGTTTAGTAACCTTTTATTTTTTATTTTTTATATAAACCTAGTAATATCTTGTTTCTCATGTAAGTACAAAGGACATGGGTTATTCAATGGCTTACATCTTCTAACTTTTCCTATTTAATTCATTTTACTGTAGGTGTTTTATTGGATTCCTTTAAGTGCTTGTGGTACTTATAGGGAGATCTATATGTTAGAATACGATTTATTTAATTACAATTTTAAAAGATGTTAAGGTTAGAATTTCTTTTTATTTAACTACAATTTTAAATACAACTTTAAAATATTTTCACTATTAGTTTTAATAGACTATATTTCTTTTTTAAAAGAAGTAAATGTATTAGAATTACTTAGAGTAAGTATAATTATTTTTACATATCAAGTATAAGTATGTATATTACGATTGTTAACATTTTTTATATTATTTAAATATTATTTAAGTAAAATTTATGACAATTACGGTAAAAATAGCTAATTCATTTCTCTGATTTAGTGAACTTTATTTTTTATTTATTTATTTTTTATACTTAGTAATATATAGTTTCACATGTCTGTACAAAGGACATGGGACATTCAGAGGCCTGCATCTTATAGCTTTGCATCATAATTTGATTTTTCTGTAGGTGTATTAAGGGTGGTTCAAAAATATATCTCTCCTCTCTCTCTCTCTCTCTCTCTATATATATATATATATATATATATATATATATATATATATATATATATATATATACACAGATAGATAGATAGATAGATAGATAGATAGATAGATAGGTGGTTCAAAAATACTTTTAGAAAATTTGGGGGTGTTTTTCTTGCACCAAAACAAGGACAAATGTTCATATAAACAGGTTGTTATTATAACTGACAAAACAACAAACACAATATGCCCTTTTAAAAATAGGTTGAAATATGAGCTTGGGTAAAGTTTCTATTCGCAAATAAGCTCAATTTCAATGTTATTTTACGTTTAAATGACTAAGTCGATCAAGCCAATTTCTTTGTAGTTAATAAATTTGAACTTGGCGAATTTAAAGATACACATGGCGAGATTTGAAACGAATTAATTTTTTCGCAATTTTTTACCGAGAAACTTTTCGCCAACCACCCATGACCTTTATACATGGGCAAAGCCACCTTCTCAAGGTTAGAGTGTCTAGTCTACTCTACTATTTTATCCACAGCAGTAATTACAAAAGGATACTTCCTTCCTTTCCTAGATGCGGAAGTGAATGCGATAGACAAGACCTAGACTTGAACACTCTCAGCACGGATAATCATTACGCCTACCAAACTTCAGATTTACACATGGGCAAATCCAACTTCTCAAGGCTGGGGAGCCCTATCTACTCTGCTATTTCCCACACAGCAGGATTTGCCACAGGGCGGCTTTATACATTTCAATGAACTCGACAGACCAGATCGAGATTTTAACACACTCGGCACCGATAATCATTGATCCTACCACAGATTTATACATGTGGAAAGCCACCTTCTCAAGGCTACAGATCTCATTCTATCCTGTTATTTAATGTAAACACACGGTTCCCTGATTTCAATTTCCGCATCGATAACCATTTCGCCAACCTCATATCAAAAATACGTTTGTGCATATCCGCCTACTCATCCTGCAAGCCATTGTTAGTGCTGTGATTTCCTTTCCTGATGAACGTTTCCCATTTCGTTATTTAAATATGTTCTTTTGAATAGAACAGGCAAAGCCCTTTAAGTTTCTTCTGGTGTCGAATTAAGCTCCAGATTAACTCAGATGGACGCGAATAAAGGTATTTACCGAAATTAGAAATAGAAATCCGAGTAACTTCCTTAAGGAAAAAAAGGTATTAAAAGCCAAAAAGCAATCACGATGGCATCGCTTTTTTTTTTCAGAGTGGTCTTTAAAAAGCAAGATGTACTTTCACCTATTCTATCATAGAAATCATAAGACATGTCGAAAACTTTAGTTTTAAGACATATTAACATGAGAACACGTAGATATTTTTTATAATCTTTCCACCTTAAGCAAGGCAACAAAGCCACTAACACATAAGTTGTTATTGTGTGCGAAAGAATATAAGAAAAAAAAAAAACTTTTAAGGCGGAACAATAATGAATAAACAGAAAATCAAAGAGACAGAACATGACGACTGACATTACATTAAAAATCTTTAAAGAAAATGTCATGGCGAAACACACTTATTCTATAGCAGGGGTCGGCAACTCATTCGACCCCGCGGGCCGGATCGTGTTATAATGACGGGTCGCGGGCCGGACGAAGGACATTAATGAAAAATGAAGGAAAATTACATATGCAGACCCCCTGTCAACCTAAGTACAGTGTAACCCGGATATAAGAGACCCGGATATAAGAGAAACCCGGATATAAGAGCGATTTTCTCTGGTCCCAAATTAGAGCCTGTGTTAATGTATATAAAATAGACCAAACCCGGATATAAGAGAAACTCGGATATGAGAGACTTCTTCTCCGATCCCGACAACTCTCTTATATCCGGGTTACAATGTATTTAAAACCATAACGAAAATAAACATTGAGAAATCAGAAAAACAAAAGAAAATCTAAAATTTAAAAAAACACCTAACAAAAATTACTTTTCCTCAAGGAACGTCAAAATACTTCAAAGTGAAAAAAATCAACCGAAGTGAAATGGATGAAATTATGACGTGTAGGTTTGAAACTGTTATTGAAAATTGTTCCACAAACGAACCACACACAAACATAAAACAAAAATGAAGCACATATACCCATACATACGAGTACAAATAGTTGCAAACATATACACTTACATACGTACACAGGCGGTATCATCCACACATTCATGAGGCATGTATGTATAATGCGCGTATGTTTAACTTTAGATTTCTGCTACCTCGCATTTCAGTCCCTCCCTGGCCTCTTTCACTTTATCGTTCCTTTCGCTTCTGTTATCTTTTAATATAGCCAAGGGTCATAACAAATATGTATCCATTATTTGACATTAAACGTAGGCAACGCAACTTGGTAAAATAAGTCTCATGAAAGATAACTGGCAGATAGTCTAATTCGAAAGCCTCGTCTCTCATGTTAAAAATAGAGTCATTGGTAATCAGGCTAGCGGGCCGGTAAAAATGCCTTTGCGGGCCGGATCCAGCATGCGGGCCGTAGGTTGCCGACCCTTGATCTATAGTTAATAGACTCTCCCACCTAATATAAGTAGGAGTAGTAAGAGAAACGAGGGTTAGTCGATGTCGGACGACCGGCTGAACGGTTGAACTCTCTGCCTTCGGGCGGGGAGGAACCCGAACGAGGCTACGCCGAAGGGCGGTGTCTCATTCGGGGAGGTAAACCGACCCTGAACTGGTTTATACGAGTTCAAAGGGTATATTTTTGGCCGAGCCCACGGGCTCGGTGATCCCACGGGCTCGGTGATCCCACGGGCTCGGTGATCCCACGTTAAACCGGCCTTGTGCCACATGATACCCTCGTGGGTGGGGGTGACTAAATACTAGTTGATGTCGGACGAAAGTCGATGTCGGACGACAGTCGAACTCTCTGCCTTCGGGCAGAGAGGAACCCGGACGAGGCTATGCCGAAGGGTAGAGTTTCGTCCGGGGAGGTAGACAGACCCGATCCCGTTTATGCGGGGTCTACGGGGATTTTTTGGCAGAGCCTACGGGCTCGGGAACCCCACATTAAATTCGACTTTGTGCCACATGTGACTGAGTGGGGCAGTTACTAAATAGCGTCGATGTCGGACGACAGTTAGTCGAATACGAAAGTAGTCATCGACCACAACAAGATTACTCTGCGTAATACCTATTAAATCAAGTTCCTAACGTTTTGTACGTCGAAGTATTTAGGACCGATTTCGTACAAATACAAGCCTCCTCTGCGAAATAACTGCACAACAGAAAATTATAATAAAATCGCCATTGGCTTCAACTACGTCCTCCAAACAACTTCAGAATCTCCTGCATTTCTTCTGGACGGTCTCCTTGTTTAAGTTGGTGAATGCTGTCATAATCCTTACCTTCAGCTTCTCTTTGGTGTTACAAGGGGTTTTGCTGGTCTCTCGCACAATACACAAGCTTCTTTTGTAGTTTAATCACTGTTTCCCACACATAATAATCCAGGGAGTTGCAGTCTGGGCAGTTAGGTAGCCAGATGGAAAGGGTGATGTGGTCGCAGAAATTTTCTGACAGCCCTGACTGGGTTCTCCTGCTTGTGAGGCATGGTCGAGAGTCATTGCCAGACATAGGGACACTCAGCAACTTCTCTCTCGACCCAGAGCAGCACTACCACTTTGATGTAGGCCTCCGTGTTGACTCTGAGGCCTAATGGGAAGATGAATGGAGGCATAACGTTGCCATCACCAGTGATCTCTCCAAACATCATGGTGTTGACTGGATATGTCGTCCAAATCTTTTCGAATCCTGACCTCAGGTTGACACGCAAACAATCTGAAATGTGCTTATTGGAGCTTCCGGCGCGAATTCCAAGCAGTACAGCAATCCGTTTCTAAGTTTCTGCCGGAGTGAATTGTGTTATGATGATCTTTTTCTCACAAACGGTG